TTGCCGGCTGGGGCTAAACCACGACAACCTGGAGTGAAAGAAACAAACAAACCAGCTCATACTTAGTTTGGCTTATGTTTAGCACGTTAGTACTGAAACATAGTACAGTATGAAGAACTGGATCTGAAATACATGGCTTCTGAAAAAGCTGTGGGGAAGTCACACTAAACAGATGCCTAACTGTAATGTAAGGTCCTAGTGCTGTGCTTTGACAAAAATGGGCTGGCGTGGGGGCTGTTTTGACTTGTGTGGGCTGCATAAGTGACATGAGCAGGCCACTGCGTGTAGTTCTGGTGTCTGTCTTTAAAGACTTGAAAAATTCAGAGTGTGAAAAGCCACAGGAAGGGTTCGGGGTCATTGTGTGGGGTGTTAAGCTTTTAAGTTATGCAAAGCTAATAATTATTAGTATACTTATTTAACTTAATCTCTTGGGCTTATTCGGTTCATTTTAAAAAATGCAGAAACTTGTTAGGGATAGTTGTTTGCTAAGAGATTAAAACAAAATATGAGCCAACTTGTATGAACTTTGCTTTAAGCAGTGGGCAAACTTCTGGTGTCGTACAAGTGCTACGTAATGACTTCTGTCACTCTGTGGTAGCTTTGAAAGCTAGAACAGGTCTTAAAATAACTATAATGCATTATGCATGTGGTATTCAGGGTACCACAATAAACTTGGACTGCCTCACTTCTTTGTTTGACATGACTTTACCATGATACAACCCAAAATAACCTTCAACTACATCATGTTTTCTTGAACTTCCAGCTGAGACAACTTTTTTTAAAACTATTTTTTATTGTCAAAGTAGATTAATCCAAACACACTTCAATCTTAATTTTGCATGCAAACTAGTCATGTTAAAGACCAATTTCTTTCTTCTATTTAGTATTAGGCTTTAATTTTCTAGACATCAGTCTTTTAAATGCAAATTTCTGCCTTAATTTTTGGAAGTTCTTGGAATTTTGTCAGCAACAGTCTCCCAGTGAGATGTTGGTGTCAAACAGCAGCAATTTATAAACACTTCAATGTCATTTGCCCAGAGAAAGACATTAACACTTGGGCATTGGAACTGGAAAAATTGGGATGGGAAATAAATTCCACAAGGCAGTGAGGTGGAGTTGGCTAAAGGACAGGACTACACTTTCCTGACTCTTTCCAGATTGCCATGGCTAACTGTGCTGGGAGACCTGTGTACTTATGCCCAGCTGGTGTAGTACTGTATAGGCATCTGCTATTGGTCCTGAAATATCAGGTATTCACAAAGAGCCCAGTTTAATATTTTTTTGGTACTACAGTGCCTTGAAGCCCTAGTAATTTTGATCATATCTGAGACTTGACGGTCTCTCTGTTCAAACATCCAAGTCTTGCCTTACTTATCAGATTGTTGCTTCCTGCTATAAACTTTGAGTCTTTGAATTACTGAGTTAGAGAACCTGCTTCCTGTGCTAGTTTCACTTGTGTTCTGAGGTTTATGGTGATTTCCCAGGATGTATTAAATCATTATCATGATGCACTGATAGTAAGTATATGTACGGGAGGGTAGATATGGAGTGGTATCCTTCCTGCCTTTAAACTTTTTAACGGGGATTTTTTTTAATGCCATTTGGTTCTTTGTAGGACAATGAATAGCTTGTGTTTCACCTTAAGGAGGAACAAGGACCCCTCTTATTCTCACTGTTCCTTTTATAAGGATTTCAAGGTTAGAGAGTGAATATGGAATGTAGACTTGAGAACATTGAGGCAACATCCCTAAAGACCTTCCTGACCCATTCTGTGCAGATTTCTGTGTAATGCATCAGTAAGGTAGCCTGCACTACCACCTCAGTAATGTGTGGAAAAACAGATCTACATACATTAATTGTAGGAATTGGTGAATATTGGCAGGTCTCTGATTGTAATCTTTACTCTTCTGGCACTTGCAGGCTTGTGGGGTTTTTTTTGTCAAATTTCAGCATTACACCGAGAGACTCTATGCAAATTGAAGTGTCAGTGGAAGTTACAGAACATATTAACAAAATGTGGAGGGACATAATACCAAGAGCAGATATCTTCCTTCCAGAACTCTGTAGGTTTTTTTCAGAAGATTGTTTGCTATTTGCTTTCCTGAACTACTAAATACAGTAACTTTAAACAAATACTTAAAATTATTCTGCACCAAAGGAATGGAAGGTGACAAATGAAATGCCAGTTTTAAAGAAATTTCTGAAGGAAAACCAAGGAGCTGCAGACCAGTGAGCCTTACACCTTAAGCTAGTGGAAACTGCTCTAGAGGGGAAGCTTACACCTGGGGGCAAATACACTGTATAGGAGAGAAGTCAGTGTGGCACCTGCAAGAGAAGCCATGTTTCAGAAATGAGCTGTTAGTCTTTTGAAGGTGTGGTATTTGGTGTTTCTTTTTTATTTCAACCATGCTCTGAGTTGCAATGGTTACAGTATCACACTCTCCCAACTGATTTTTTTTTTTTAAACTAATTACATATTCAAATTCAGTGTCACCAGTTTTGTTAATAGCTTAGTGTATGTCCTGATGTGAAAGTTGGGTTTGTTATTTCATTGTCACACGGATGTATCGTCCTGTGCAGTAAATTAATTTTCTTAATGCTTTTTCAGTGTCTGAGCAATACCCCTCCTCTGACTGACTATTTCCTGGAAGATAAATATGAAGCTGAAATAAATCAGCACAATCCACTGGGGATGAGAGGAGAAATTGCAGAAGCCTATGCAGAGCTCATTAAACAGATTTGGTCTGGGAGACAGTCTCATGTGGCCCCACGTATGTTTAAAGTAAGTACACCATGTTCTTGTAGCATAGCTTTTTGACAGAAGAAACAGTGAAAGCTAGTATGCCTGCCACATAGTTTGGTGTTATGAAAGCAGTAACGACAGAATTGCTTCAGTGTTGTTTCACATCTTATGTAAATGCTTTTCAGGGTACAGGGAGGAACTTGCCAGTGAGTATTGTCATACCCCAGAGTTGGTTACAGCTCCTTAATGTTAAATGCCTTACTTAGTAATTGACCTTCCAGCCTGAGAGCTGTTTACAGATGCATCAAAATGATCTTTGCTACAAAACTAGACAAGGGCATGTGAATTGCCAGCTGTGAACTTTAATCAGTGAGAAAAGGTGTGCAAGTTATAAATTTAAAAAATGAAATTATGAAGTGGTGAGCAAGATGCATCCTTTTGTCTATAATGTTATTTATTGGTTTAATGTTTCCAGTGCTTCAGTGTAAAGAGCCACTTGCAGCTGAAATACTGCAATATGGAGGTTGTATATGAACCCCTAGAAAAATTGTAACTGTCTTTTGTTTTAAACATAATGCAAAGATGCTCCAGTGTAGGACAATGTTTTAATTATGCATTCAAGGAACACTAAAGAGTTTGCTTCTGTAGTGCAGTCTCAGTATGCTGAGGAAGAATAACATCCTAAATGCATGAAATAAGCAGTGACCTGATGTTGGTGTAAATGTGCATCCTGTTGCTGTTCAGGTTTTGCACGGTGCGATCTTGAAGTTAAGGGTATATGCTTTTGAGACCTGGAGCCAAAACTCTTATGGAAGAAATCTGTCCCCTGTGGAGTCATAGGTAGTTCTGAAACAACAAAAGGTTGTTTAATTTCTGTGACTAGGAGTTGCTGGCACATCATCCACCACTATTAAAGTTGTTCTGTAAACTTCAGTTCAGAAGCATAATTATGCAAGCTTGTTGGACTCCGTGTTTATGAGAAAACTAGTCATGGTCACTAGGACTGACCACTCCTTCAGCTAATTGTTGATTTTCCTGTGGGACCCCTTTCTATTTTTTTTTTTTTTTGTTTTGAAGCAGGAACAGTAAGTGGCAGTGTTGCAAGTTAGCATTTATGAATCAAGAGACTGTATTTGGGTGCGCCGTTTGTGGCTCTCACTAACTCAGGCTGTTATGTTTCTTAGCTTCATATCACAATTTTTAGAATAGCGAGAGATTACTGTGGTGAGGATTTCAGTCTTAGTTTTAAATGAGTTTTGTTAGTTCATAAGTATCTTCTGTAAGCACTTGCGGTCTTGCAGTCCACCTGCTTCAAGATGCTATCTTATAGCAAGTTTGCATTGTGGGAACTTTAGGTTTCTAAAAGAGGAAGTACAAAGTGCATCAGACAGATAGGTTTTGTGTACTGGTTGTTTGCAGGTTCCTAAGTGAATACTGATAACTTAGATTTCTAATGTCACAGCACTAAATACATTCTTCCCTCTCAACACTGGGGGGAAAATTATTCTGGCACCCTTACTGCGTTAGCATCCAGTTCACTGTCGTCTCCTGCTAACATAAGGTAGCATGGAGTTCATCTCTGCAAAAGCCAGAGTGAGTGTTTTTACTCCTGTCTTTTACACATAGGTCATGCTCATGCCTCTCTGACTCTTGTCTTCGTGTTTCAGACACAGGTTGGCCGATTTGCTCCTCAGTTTTCAGGATATCAGCAGCAAGATTCCCAGGAGCTCTTGGCTTTTCTTCTAGATGGCTTGCATGAGGATTTGAACAGAGTGAAGAAGAAGCCCTACTTGGAGCTGAAGGATGCCAATGGCAGACCGGATTCGGTACGGTGCCCTTTACTTGAGGGTAGGGCAGGTAGTACTTCTGAGGGAGTTTAATTGGGTTTTGTGACACTTCCTGGCCTTCCTGCTCACAGGCCGCACAAACATCCTCCCTACAAAGCAGTACCTGGGAGGGGAGAACCCTGTCATGCTTTATGGCCCAGCTGATTTCATGACACCTTGTGTCACACTTCTGCTGTAAGGCAGAGCAACAGCATGTCTGTTCTTGTATTGATGTGTCGAAGATGTGCTTATGGTACAATGCTGGTGCGGTTCTGCAGTGGAAAGGAAGGAAGCTTATCTTGTGACACAACAGTTACCTAAAAGTAGGCTGTAGTTACCATCATAATCTTTCCTCCTGGCTACTCAAGCCCACCTTCTTCCTACAGGTAGATTGATCAGCAGCTTTTAGCATCAGTTTGAGGAGAGTGCTTACTGTGCAGGCCATAATCTTTGCACGTCGACTTGGGTGGGACTGGGAGCATTCTCATGTGGAGGTGCCAGGGGTGGCCCTCAAATAAGGCCTTGAACATGGTGTCCTGGGCACGGGCTTGTAAGCAGCCATTCTGGTGTCCCACTGGTAGACAGCAGACTGTCAAATGAAATTAGTTTTTAGGCCAGACTTCTCATGTGTGCTCCCTCATGGCCTCTAGACAGATGTAATCCATGAGCTAGATTTAAAACCAGGCTGAATAGGGTGCATGAAAGTGCTGCTAAATACAGGGTGAGAACCAACATCTAAGTGACTTAGTATAACCATGGATCTTGATGAATTCCTAGTGTTTGGTGAACTACCTGCATCTCCTTAAGAGGCTTGACTTGATTTTTCCTCCTTTCTGGTGCCATGGAAATGGGTACACTGATATTAAAGCAACTTTACATTTTTATTTTATTTGTTTGAATTTAAACACCCTTGCGCTCCAATTACCCACTCTACCTAAAAAGAGAAGAGTAATTCTGTTATACCATTTTCCTGATAGAGGCCAGAAAAGTCTCTTCTGTTCATTTTTTTCTTCCTGCCTTTTCTCTATCCTTCATTTCCCAGTCAACACTGATACGTGAGCCCCTTGCAGACACTCCCTTGTTCCCCTGAAGTTGACAAACACCATGCTCACATTAAAATGAGACACATAATAGTCAAATGTCTTTCCCTCTGTTTCCCTAAGTGAACTCACGCTCTCCAATCAGGCTTTGTACTGTGACAAGAGGTAAAACAGCTGCAACATCTGACAAATGCAGAGTCCAGAGTCCACACATGTTTCTGCCTTGCATCCATATCACTGCAGTTGTTGGAGCTTATTACTCTGTTCCCATCTCAGTATCCTGGTTAGTGACAGTAGCATTGCAGTGCGTGTGTATCTATGGCACTTATTTCCCTTGAGACACATATAAAATATATGGTATTGTACCATAAACTAAAAGCCCCATGCTAAGAGGAGCCTCTGATTGCATTGAATAGACAAGTGCCAGTTATTAGTTGCCCTTATGTAAGGAATTTATAAGTTGTGTTGTGTAAGTCTTCAAGGGATTGTAATTTGTCTGCTTTTATACTTTCTTTCTGAGACCTGGACCATCATTTTCCAAGAAGAAAGAACTTTACTTTTGTCTCAGAAGCTGTAACTGCAGCTGTCTTTCAAAAGGAGGGGGGAGCAGTCCATTGCTGCTGGAGAGGAGTGGAGCATGTCTTGTCAGCAGCTTTCTGTCCTGAAGAGCAGCGTCTAACCCTGTCACTGTCCCCTCAGCTCCATTCGTGCTTCTGGCATTGTGCGCACCAAGGAATACCTGACCAAGAGACTCAGCAAAAATAGATGTATTACATTTGACTTGATGCAAGGCCTTAGTTTCACTGAGGGAAAAAATCACAGTGTGTTATGCTGGACACACTGGTAGACCCCCCTTTTTATGAAATTTACCTGCCAGTATCAATTTTCTTGAGTTTTCTTTGGTCCCTGTGCTTGCCACACTATGGAAGTGTTTGTGAGACACAATATTTAATTTTTATTTTTTTTTCTTTTTATAGGAAGTGGCAAAAGAGGCCTGGGAGAATCATAGGCTGAGGAATGACTCTATCATTGTGGATATTTTTCATGGTCTTTTCAAATCTACGCTTGTCTGTCCCAAATGCTCCAAAGTTTCTGTGACCTTTGATCCCTTCTGTTACTTAACCCTTCCACTGCCCTTGAGGAGAGATCGTCTCATGGAAGTTACCCTGGTATATGCAGACCCACAGCATAGACCTGTCCAGGTGAGGCATGTTGAAGACACAAATTTCTTTTAAGTCATCTGAGTCTTTCTCTCAGGTTTTAAAGTTGAGACTTTTCATGTAATCTAAAGGACATTGACGTCCACCTTTGACTGAGGCAGGATGGGATTTTTTAATGTAAAAACTGTGAGTTGAACATGTGAAATCAAGTGGTTTTGTAAAATCTTGGTTTGTGAGACTATGGTCATGAGTCAGCTGGAAGTGGCTTACCTGTTCCTGTGATGAGATTACCTGCGTGTGATGTACTGCTCCCTGAAAACAGTAATGTGTTTGCAGTGGCACGTCTACCTCCTGATACCTTGGGAAATGTAAAGGTAGAACTTCCCTAAATGGGTAAAGGCTCTGAATTTCATACAGAAATGAAAAATGATCCTTCTTGGGGGAAAAAAAAATAAATTACTTGATTGCTTTTACAGCCTGCTCGATTCCAAGGTAGAATGAGTTTATTTTTTTCACCCCAAAACGGGCCTGTGTGTGAGCATGCACATACCTGAAGTAACCTTGAGCTTGCCACACATCAAAACAATGCCTTGCATGGGTTTATTTTGCCTGGTGTAAGCATGATGTTATCTTTGTTTCTAGTACCGGGTTGTGGTGCCGATGATGGGGGCCATCTCGGATCTGTGTGAATCCCTCTCCAAACTCTCTGGTGTTCCTGCAGAAAATGTAAGGATAAATGCAGCACAGTAATTTTGATAAATGTTTGTTCTTCTTGAAGCATTTTGGTGGCTTAGCTTTTAGATGGGTGATATGCCGCATTTAATGGAATAGTGACAAAACCCTAACAAGTTTGAATGCTGTTCTTTGACTGTAAAATAAAAAGATGCATGAAATAATGTGTTTATTCTGACACTTCCATTGCAGTAGCGAGGTTTAAGAGAAGGAGCAGAGAGCTAGCCCCTGCTTCCAACATTTCTGATAGTGTAGTTTCTTAGTACTGAGAGACGTTCTATGTCTGTTCTGGGTCCTCCTCTTCTTGGACATCCTTCTAATAACAAATGGATCAGGTGAACTTTTCCAGAGGGAATGGTTTTGTAGTTGTTAGGGTATTTTCAGGATGCCAGTGTAGCACTTCAATTTATTTCAGTTAATTACAGATATAAGTGATGCATGCCTGAAATTGTAGCCTGTTGCCACTCTGATGGTGGAAAAAACAGCAGAGATCCCAAAAAGCTGACTTGCAGCTGTTGGAATTGCATCTTCTTGGTATCTCTGTAAAATCGGTCTGTTATTTGCTTTGATTTTCTGATCCATCTTAACAAATACAGCTGACTAGCAGTTGGGTGCTGTTATAGAAAACAGCGCTGATGTTGGTGTGCTGAAAATTCTAATAAAGAATAGGAATAAACTGTTACTTGAGTTTAAAGTTAGTTTGCCTAAATCTATGTATGCTTTTATTATAACCTCTTTGCAAATATCACTTGCTGTTCTAGATGGTGGTGACAGACGTGTATAATCATCGGTTCCACAAAATCTTCCAAATGGATGAAGGTTTAAATCATATCATGCCAAAAGACGACATCTTTGTGTGAGTAAAGTGGGAAGATGCCATGATGTGAAGAATACTACAAAACATTTGCTTTGGTTTCAGGATATAAAACATGATTATTTTTACATCCCCCCACGCCAACAAACCTAAGCCTTCCTGTAGACTTTTGCATGACTTGGCAGTAAGGCAGCACTTCTCCTAGCAGCAGATCAGCATATGCAGTGTTTAGTAGGTGTTTTCCTAACACAAAGGAAGTCGTGGTCCTGGGTAATAATGAGCTTTTTGTTTGGTCTGTGTTCAACAGTTTGGAGCTTTCTACAGGCCTATTTCAGAGATGAAAATCGATGTCTGGATTACAGTTATGCTTTCATTGGTGTTTTTAGGCAAACTCAAGCTTACTGTTCATCTGCTCCAAATCAGTCAAAAGCCTTGGAGCTGTTAGTAGGATAGCATGAAGTTTAAGCTGTAGTACTCTGCCTTTCCAAAAACCTTCATAGTTGTTATAGCACCTAGCTAAGCATGACTGGGGGTTCCTGATAGATTCTTGACTGGCGCTCACATTGTTTGTCTACTGTGGTTGTGAGGGACTTAAGCAAAGATGAAAGTTTGGTTGTGCTTGATGTTCTACGTATGTGTGGTGGATGAGATGTCTCCAGTTGTCGGTGAAATCTGGTGAGGAGAACAAAGTCGTGTTCCTTTGTTGCAGGAAAATGAAGTGCAAAATGGACTTTGAGGCTTGCAGTTGAACCTGGGGCTTTTGAGGTCAAATCTGGCCCTTTATCACAAGTCCAGTCTTCCTCATGTGAGAATATTCTAGTGCAAGAATATTGTGCCAGTGTGAAATCCTGCACTAATACACTCTGGTGCAGTACATACCTTTCGCTAAGTGGGATGCTGTGACATACTGCCTGGTGCTATTCTGTCGTGACTTCATGGCTGAGATGTAATGTCTGAGTTCTTATGAAAGTTCTTGTCATGTTGTTGTTTTCTTCAATTGCAACTATAAAGGTGTGGCCAGTTAGGATGCCTAGGAAGGATGTTTGGCCTCCGTGAAACCTGTTTTGTGACGGTATTGTAAAGTGTTAAGTTGTAAGTCTGTTTCCAAAGCTGGTAAAACATTGAAAAAGCAAGAAGTGTGATACTACAATGGTGATTACAAAAAAACCCCCCACTTTTCTACAGGTATAACATGTTGCATATCCCTCCACAGAAAACAGCTGTGTCTGAATTAGCTCTGCTCTGGGGTTGAGGGGAAGTGTTAGCTGAACTGCAGCTCCACGTGTATTTTCCTTTGCAGTCACCACTTCCTTTTATGTGCAGGCGCAACTGTAAATGAGGTGATGCTGTGAGTCATAATCATAGTGAGTGAACTGACCTGGGTTAAAAGTAACCCTCCAAGTAAGAGGAGAGGTAGCAGGAGGAAATTTTGCTAGTCCTGTTTTTCCATGTAAACCCTCTAAGATGTTTCCAGCACTGTGGGGCAAGAGCAAACAGCCAGGCACCAGGGCAAGAATTAGGAAAATGCTGCTCATGGGAACTCCCTTTAATGAGTAATGCTGCCAGGAAAAAGATTTGTAAAGTAATAGTCTAACCTACAGCTAAAAACCAGCATTCTTTTATTGAAAGGGAGTCTTGTATCAAAAATGCAACAGAGAAATGTGTTCATAAAGAGCAAAACTTCTTATTTAAAGGCAAATGCGTAATTACTTCTATCATGGACAATCTGCTTACCTTGTCTGGTTATATAAAGTCTGCTCTTAGGTGTTCTAAGATTTAATTAAATCATTCAAGAAATGGTAGTAATGGTGTGAAGGTTCTTAAATTCCACTCTGTTTCCATCTATTAAGGTCTTGTATCTGCTGAAGCAGATGTGAAAGGAGGGATTGTCAGTACATGAATTTTGTGTTAAGACTGGTACAAGGTGAGCTCAATCAGGGCTGGTCTTCAGTTTGGGATTTCTGAACTGCAGGTTTGAGGGATTCTTATGAATTTTTACCCTTTTGCTGTTACTTGCTTGTAGAGCCTGAGGTGGGCAGGCTGTGAGAGCGTAGTGGCACTGGCAGAAAATTTGAAAATTGTCACTGGAAGGGCTTGGTTTGCCTTAGGACTAGCTGTGTTAGATTTTTGTTTCACTGGGCTCTTGCAAACTGATGACATTACGGATATGCCAAAGGCTTTTTTTTTTTGTTTGGCTTTTTTTGTTACTTCATGCGTTATGTGTTTCTAGTATCTTTCTAAGAAATTATGATTTTCTTTAGTTTTTCCTTGCAGGAAATGTTTTTAATTTTAATTCCTATTTAGCTCATGGTCTGAGGAATCCTTGAGAGCTCTGTGAATTAAAACTCTTCAGTAAGTTGAAACTGTCATGTAGAAGTTTTTTCAGACTTTCTAAATCTTAATGTTTAAGACTGAGAATTATCTGAGTTGCATTTGGAGGGGTAATATGGTCTGTTTGAACTTGGTACATCATTGCTAAAAAAGTGCATAACTTCCAAAGTAATGTGAATATTTTTGTCCTGCTGGCTTCAAAACTCGTTTTCCACTGGGGGATGTACTTGTAGCCGTGGAGGTGCATCTCTGCCTTCTGCTTCTTGCTGAAAGAATGATTTTATATCTGCTAGAGAGGATTCCTGCACAGAACCTCACCTTGGCACTTTTAGCTGTCACACTGGCCCTTGTGTGTTTTTTCCTTCAGTGCTGGGGTTTCTCTTGGGTTGCCTGCTTGTGATCCAACAAAAGTTTGATCAGAAGCAAATGGTGCCTGGACTTGCACCTGCCAGTGCTACCTGCCCTGGGGCTGGACCCAGGCACTGCAGTGCACACTTCCTTTGGGGGCCTCTTCTCCAAAACCAGAGCAGTTGCAGCCCTGTTTACTCCTTTTGTGTACCTTCTAGCCTAACTGGTTTAGTGTTCCTAAATTTTCCTGCTTTTTATGTTTTTACCATGAAAATGTAGCTTGTGCTTATCCTAACTGCATTCATTCCTGCATCATAGCTGGGTTGATGTAACTGTGGAACTAGAAGATATCCTGGATCAGGATACAGAGCGGTGTTAAAATAACTGTTCTCTTGTTTCTGTGTGTAATGTCTGTGTAGTGTGCAGTGTTGCTCTGCACACAACTGTACTGGTGGAAGCAGCTCAAGAGTGGGGTAGGGGCAAATTGAAACTAAAAATATGTAGTTGGAATAATGTATAGTTGAGAAACTTTTTATTTCCTCAAAGTCAATGAAGACTCCAGTGCCCACTAAAAAGCATTTTGTTCTTTTGGTTTTAAATTAAGGCCAATTCTTTAGAGAGGTGACAGGAAAAGACTTGCTTATGACTTGAAGGATGGCTCTGTATGCCTCCATAGTCCGCGAAGTGTTCAGCTTGGAAAAGATCCTCTTGTGCTGACTGGTGATACAGCTGCGGGGTGTATCGCTAGTTACACTGCGTAATGTATCTCTTCTGTTCCTGAAGGAAAACTACCTGTGCATGGATTAACGAAGGGGAACAGCTACTTTTTATTAGAAAGTGTCACTGTAAAACATTACAGTTATAATATTTTCACCCAAAATTCACAGCTGCAATAAATAGCAACCTAAAAAAGATTAAATAAAACATGCTAACCCATGAAAAGTTTATTTGCATTACATTTATGCTGGATATTGCCATAAAATAAACTTCTAAGAAGACTTTCTAAAATGTTAAGTTGGGCTGACAAGGTGGCAGTTGATTTGTAAGCAAGGAAGAAATCCTCTGGAAGCTGCTTGCCTACCATGTTTTGAAAACATAATTTTTCCTAAGATTTCTTTGAATCGCCTAATTGCCTTGTGTAGTAAGACTAAAACATACCAGCTTCTATGCTAGGAGAACAGAAGTTACAGAAAAGACGAGGGTTTTAATAGCATTACTTCTGTTACAAATCAAATAAGAAAACTGCATCATGTCAGGATATTGTGCTCATAGCGCGGCAAAGCTAAGTGAGAGGTATGTCAGCTCTCAGGTGGGAAAAACAAGCTGGAGAGGGCTTATCTGGTAATCATGGTACCTTTTGGAGGGTGTGTTCATATGTACTAAATGTTAACCTAGAAGTGTTTGAAGTTGGCATATAATATGCAACCTGAGATATGACTGAGGACCATTAGTTAATCGTTTGTATTTAAGTAAGAGATGTTTTCTAGAATCAAAACATCTCTTGTATTTAAATTAGGATGATATTCACTGTCTGACATACTTGAGCTCTTTCTTAATTCATGTTTTATTGATCCTGTCCCTTTTATTATACTGATCATCTGTTCTTATTTTCCAGTAACGTCCAGTGGAAAGACTTCCCTGTTGCCAAACTGTAACATGCACATCTCCTTACTGGTTTTAAGTAATTGGAGTTAGACGCAAAGTTTCTTTCACTGGTTAGAAAATGAAGTGCAAAGAAGTAAGCAATTCAAAATAGAGTTAAGTCAGTACAGCATATTCAGAAGTGGATTTCTCATGTGTACATTCCCCAAACTTGTATTTTAAAATTGTAGACTGCTCAGTGGGTCCTATTTAATTTTTGAGGTGTTTTCTTGAAGGATTTTGCTTCTTAGTCTTTGAATTTGGGTGTGCTCACAGGTCTTTTAATTTTTTCCTCATAGCCACACTGAGAGAATTATGAGAGAAACCGTGGTAAACTGAAGATGGCACCCTTCTATGCCTCGTGCTAGTGTTTAAATCATCTTCTTAATGGTGTAACAGTTTCCTCATGTGAGAAGTACTCCTCCCTTCCACTGACAGAAGCAAACGAAGGTTGTGTTAGTGATTGTCTGTGGTTGTTTGCTAGTCTGAGAATGAAAAGAATGAGGTGTAGTGATAGGATGGCCTACAAGGCCCCCAGGCTCTGATTTCATGTGCAGCTGCCATCAAATTGTTCCTTTGTTCCTTGCTCTCCTTGTCCCCCTCTAAACAGGACTTTGCTCAGAGTCCAGCAGCGCTTCCACCTGTGATCACCTGGGTGACTTTCTCTAACAGAAATCAGTTGCTTCAGTGGTTCTGAAGCTTTAGGTTTTTATAGTAGCTTA